TGGGGCATTCTGGGAGTTGAAGTCCAGACATCTTCAAGTTGCCAAGGTTGAGAAACACTGGTCTAAGGCCCAAGGAGCTGCCTTCTGAGTAACACCGGAGTACTGGTCACACGTTCATATCTACAGTGAAGAACAATCAAGTTACATCTTTGTTCCAAGACAGAGTTCCTGAGCAGAGATGCCCAACGTGTTGCAGAGTCTTTTGGAGGTACGTATAACAGAACAGTCAGGAAAAACACCCAAGACATGTTTACAAGGAAGGGTTTCGTGCTGCTCAAGACCCTGGTTTGAATTTGTAAAGATAAAGGTTCCCCTTGGACATATGTGCTAGTCACTGCCGACTCTAGGGGACGGTGCTGATATTCATTTCCGAAGAGGTCTCCGTGGTCATGTAGCCAGCATGACTTAACTCCGAAGGCACACGGATCGCTGTTACCTTCCCACCAAAGGTGGTTCCTATTTTTCTACTTGCATTTTTTATGTGCTTTCGAACTGCTAGGTTGGCAGAAGCTGGGACAAGTAACGGGAGCTCACTCCGTTACGCAGCACTAGGGATTCGAACCGCTGAACTGCCGACCTTTCTGATCGACAACCTCAGCATTTTAGCCACTGGGCCACCGCATCTATTTATATGAAACATTGAGGAAACTGAGACTCTGTAAGGAGGACACTTGCCATGGATCATGGGGAAACCTGGGATGAAATATTTTTGTTGGTTTCCGATGTTCAACCTCTTTCCATCTAGAGTTCCTAGTTCTCTGGAACCAGGAAACCAACTCTGGTTACGGAACCCTGGTTTCCTTCTTCTCCTGGCCTTTTGAGAGGCAATATAGAAGGAACACCACTGAAACGAATCTAACCTGCACTGCCAAATAAACACTGATTACACAGAGATTAAGTCACTATCAGTAGAATTTTGTATCTTCAGTTCATTGCTTTCCCGGTTGCTACAGAGGCAAAGATTTGAGTTGCTCCAACTTGACAAATCAAAGGCTATTCTTTCTTTCTCTGAACGGATAACTAAATTTGGCAGCCATTGGAAAGTTTGGTTTAAAAAAGGAATGGCTGTTTTAAAAATATCCCATTTAGCTATTTTCGGATGCTTCCATTGAACCATCGCAACTCTGAAAGAGGGTTCTGATACTGGTTTGCCCAATGAATGTAACTGGTGAGAGAAGGGAGGAAGAAGCCATCAACCAGAGGATGATTGGTAAAGCTAAAATGAAAAATATCTTCAGGGAAGCAGAAGCGGAAGCTGTGAGTTCTTCAAACCATTTGAAGGCATTGATTTTAGAGATCCATAAATGTATATGTACACATGGGCATGAATGGGCACGCATACCCAGCATTCACTTAATGCCTCTTTGAGACTTCATTCAAAAAAAAAAAATAGGTAAAGATTTCCTAAGAAATTTGCAGCCATAGAACAATTGAACCAGCGGAGATCCTTTTGTGGAACACAAATTTGGCTTGTCATAGGTCGAATGCGGGCGGGGAACCCCACCTAGTGTGTCTTTCCCCAAATATGTGGTCCTCCAGATATGTTGGAAGTGCTCAATAAGAGTTTGGAGAACTGTAGTCCCCGTGCATCAGCTTGGAGAGGGATGTCCTAAATAACTCTGAAAAGTTCACCAGATTTGTGGTGGTGCCTTTTCCTGAATGGCTCCTTGCATCAGTTCAGGCTAGAATTCCGTGGTGGTGACCTGGGTGACTTCAGAGTGCAGGTCTTCCCCTTTGCCTCCTCTGCTGAAGCCTCTTTTGTGGCTGTCCATATCTAGTCATGCCGACTTATGAAGACCTTCTGATGGGGTGCAGGTAGAAACACGTTCTCGGGTGCTGTTGCGGGCCCGGCTAAAGCTGTTTTGCTCCATCCGTGATCGGAACGGGAGGCAGAACTCCCTAAAACATCTCTTGAAGTTTTCATCCAAGAAAGCATAAAGGACCGGGTTGAGGCTGCTGTTAGTGTAGCCCAGGGCGATACAAAAATGCAGGCTGGCCATGACATAAGGGTTCTTCTTGTCGATGCCAACCAGGGTCCAAACAATGACAAAGATCTGGATGGGAGTCCAGCAGATGATGAAGGCGGCGACCACAATGAGCACCATGCGCGTAATACGGCGCAGGTTGCGGTCCTTCTCCTTGGAGCCTGAGAGGAGACGGACATTCTTCAAGCGGAGAATCATGAGCCCGTAGCAGATGGTGATGACCAAGATGGGAACCAAGAAAGCAAAGATGAAAACGCAGATCTTGGTGACCGTGTCCCAGTAAATTTGAGGTTCAGGAAACTGAAGGAGACAGATTGTAATGCCACCTGCATAAAAGAAAGAAGAGTACAAAGATGAGAGGTGAACAAACAGGAGTACCATAGCTCAGTGGCCGACAATATTGTTATTCATTTGCACGTAGGAAGACATCACTGCATGGTGCTTTTGACAACGGTTCCACCACAAAACCGCGGTAGACTAAAGCGCGTGTGGACTAAAGCGTGGTGACAAAACCACACCGTCAAAACCACGCGACAACAGCACGCCAACAACAGCGCGCCGACAGAAGTGCGCTGTAACATAACCCTAAAAATAACCCTAAACCTAACGCTAAACCTAACACTAAACCTACCCTAAACCTAACCCTAAACCTAATCCTAAACCTAACCCTAAACCTTACCTTAAGTTAAATCGCGCTTCTGTCAGCGCGCTGTTGTCGGCGCGCTGTTGTGGGCGCGCTTTTGACATCGCGGTTTTAGTGCTGCGGTGTTGTCNTTTTTTTTTTTTGAAAATAACAGAAACTGGGCTGAATCTTAAACAGTAGTTCCCCTACTTGTTATCTTCCTCACTGGTGGAAGAATTGTTCCTGAATATTCTTTGAATGCAGTTTTTTTGCTTAATTGTCCTGCTATCCAATTTCCAGATTAATCCTGCAGGGCACGTCCATGGTGGCTTCTGGTAATGATTAGTGCATTGTTTCTGAGGTGCTTATATATCAATTGCTTTATGATTTGCTTTAGAATGTCCCCAGGATTCAGTGTCAGTGTGATTTGTCCCCATGTCCCCCGCTGAGCCATTTTCTAGCATTACTCAAAGATTATTCATAAAGTCTTAGCCACAGCATCATCCGCTTTCTTCAGAACTCTCATCCGCATTTCCTCTGGCCCTGAAAATTTAAAGCCATTCATAAATATTTCTTTATCATGACCTGATCAATCCCAAGCATCAGTCCTTCCTCCCGATCTTCACGGTTTTGATGGAGCACACGTTCTCTTTCTTCTGAAGAACATCAAGCTACTCTGAATAGCAGGAGACCGGAGAAGGGTAAATTGTACAGTGGTAACAACAAAAAGGAAATATGGGTATTGGCTGACTCTTTGTCCTCTAACACCTCTGCCCTCCCCAAAGTTGGTCTACAAAATGTCAGTCTAAAATCTTGCCTCTAGACCTGAATAACAGATGCACTCTGCCCTTAAACATGATAACTACACCTCTGGGTTAAAATGGATTCCATGCATCCATATGGGCACAACCATAAACATTTTCTGGGCAATGAAACAAAAGTGTTTTGCCATTATTTCTCCTCCCCACCCCCAAGATGTTGGCAAAGCCTTTCCTTGTCTTTCCACATTGAACTCTATTCCAAGCAATGCATTCTAAGTGGATGAAACATTTCATGCAAAACAGTGGTGGGATTCAAATAATTTAACAACCGGTTCTCTGCCCTAATGACCAGCTGGGTAGGNCTGTTGTGGGCGCGCTTTTGACATCGCGGTTTTAGTGCTGCGGTGTTGTCGCCGCGCTTTTGACATTCATGGTTATGTCGTGCCACGTTTGACAACAACCCCATCAACAATGACTAATGGCTATGTTGATGGGAGTTTGGGAGTATGTTGTTGTTCAGACGCTAAACTGTGTCCAATTCTTCACAACCCCATGGGCCATAGCACACCAGCCCCCTGATCCTGTCCTCCACTGTCTCAGTTTCTCCATATTCACCTTCCTTTTGTTGATGACACTAGTTAGCTATCTCATCTTCTGCCTTTCCCTTCCCCTTCTGCCTTCCATCCTTCCCAACATTGGGAGTATATTCCTAGTCCGTTAAGTGACCTTTAAGTGCTGGCAGGACACAATTCAGGATGAGTGGGCCAGTTAAAACAACAACCATGCTTGTCTTCTCAGCCGCTATAAAAGAGGTTGGAAGGCCAGTGCCACCTTCCAGATTCTTTCTTTTTTTAAATAGCTGGGAAGAGAGATGGGCACCCTCTCACAATTTCTGCTGTTTTTTCATTTCTCCGTATGGATGCAGAGTCGGAGACAGTACAAAGCAAACCAGTCATAGAGATAGAGTGCCTAGAGCAACTTTGTTTTCACGGGGCTTCTCTAGGACTTCACAGGGCTTCTCTAGGACTTTGTCTCAGTTGACAAAGCTTCAGAGATAGCTACCTATCAAGTTAGTAGCTTGTATGGGATCAGGGAGATACCCGATTAGCCCCACATAAGCTTGGGTCTCTTTATAGCTACTTTTTCTGCCTGGATTAATTGACGGGGGTTTTGAGTTTGTATGGTTTTCTTATCCCTACCCATTTCAATATGTTGTGTGAACAGGATTCATGAATGAATGTAGAATTCTTGATATCATTTCCAAGCCAGTACAGGTAGTCCTCAGCTTGCAACCACAATTGAGCTCAAAAATTATGTTGTTAAGTGAGAAATGTTTGAGTTTTGCCCCATTTAATGTTCTTTCTTGCCACTTTTGTTAAGTGGGGAAATTCACATTTTTTTACTACTGATTCTGTGGGCGTGGCTTGGTGGGCGTGGTGTGGCTTGGTGGCATGGCTTGGTGGGCATGGCAGGGGAAGGATAACTCCAAAATCTCCGTTCCCTCCCCACTCTGAGGCCAGCCAGAGGTGGTATTTGCCGGTTCTCCGAACTACTCAAATTTTCCGCTACCGGTTCTCTGAGTGCAGCTGTTAAATTACTAATACAGCTGTTACGTGAATCTGGTTTCCTTATTGACTTTGCTTGTCAGGAGGTTACAACAGGTGATCACATGACCCCGGGACCTTTTAACCGTAATCAATGTGAGTCAGTTGCCGAGCATCCCAATGCAAATCACGTAACCATGGGGATGTGGCCACCGTCATAAGTGTGAAAAATAGTCATGAGTCACTTTTTCAGTGATGTTGTAACTTTGAATGGTCACTAAGTGAACTGTTGCAAGCTGAGGACTACTTGTACATGAAAGGGGTGTTATTTACAAGCCCATATTTTTATCAAAATATGAACATTCCTTCCTAATAGCAATAGCAATAGCAGTTAGACTTATATACCACTTCATAGGGCTTTCAGCCCTCTCTAAGCGGTTTACAGAGTCAGCATCTCGCCCCCAC